CTATCGCGAATAAGATGCGAGGTGCCAGATTACGATGGTATGGTCACGTTTTACGAAGTGAAGATAATACAGTAGCAAAAATAGCACTTCGTCTAGATCCACAGGGGAAGAGACCAAGTGGTTGTCCGAAGCAACGCTGGTTGGACACCATTCGAAACGACCTGCACATTGCAAAGCTCAAACCACAAGAAGCAGCTGATCGAGTCAAATGGAAGCAAAAATGCACCACCGCCGACCCTGCACCCGCGGGACAATGGCGAAGATAAAGAAGAAGAAGAAGAAGATGGAGGTGTGCCCGATTAATGGCAAAAAAGTGGGGTAATTATATTAAGGGTGAAATCTCCTTAGAATTTCTTCATATCTATTGAAATTTTGAATTCCTTACTTCTTTTTCTTTCCTTTTCCTTTTTTCAAGTGGTTGGGGTGTCTGATGGGCTAATAGTTACCGTAAGAAATTTATCTGCATGTCATTCTTTTTGCAACAAAACCTGCTAATTCAAAAGCGTTGTAGAGATAAGCGCAGAAGATAATTATGTAAAATGAGTGCTACGAATTTTGGAATTTTGTACACTTAAAAAACAAAATATAGGTGTAGATTGCACAATTTTATTATTATTATTATTATTACCATTTCCTTCATTTTCATGTTACCGTATATTAGAATGAGATAATAAAATATAATAGAATGAACTTAGATAGAACTATAGATAGAACTTAGATTTACAGTATGAAGTGAATCATCGATCGCTCTTCATTATTATAGGTTACGTTAGGAAACTTGACGACAGTTTTTGAGCCATTACTAAAGGTCACATTCCTCAAAAACTAAACCAAACAAGCCATTTTTACTCTTGACTCAGAGCAGCTGATTTTTTACACTTTTTTTTATGATTTAGCCAAGAATGTCGTCAGAACTGTTTCTTCGGTGCTTTTACACCATTAAGAAGCTTTGAAAACTCACAATAAGCTGTGTATAAACTACTGCTACTTATATGTTGCCTGCTAAACAGCTTTTCAGATTTTACCAAAAATTTCTTGAACAACTCATCTCACAATGGTGTTGTATGCTGGAATTTCCTACCGTAATCCTACAGTAACCATTCCATAAACCTAATTTATAGCCCCCTATAAAGAATGGCATCTTAAAAGCAGGGCAAAACTTCATAGAAAAAATATTTTAATGATCAGTCAGGATGCAGTGCACACTTCGGGACACCCTGTGCATTGTAGTCATTGCTAGAATTTATCTATATTTTTCTGAATTTTTTAAGCAGTCTTAATTTCCGCAAACAGAGTTTTTTCACAAAACAACATTACTGCAGCCTATAGTCGTTCGAGTTAACAAAAGTTGGATTCCTAGCAGTTTTCTCATGGTGCACTGTACAAGATCCAATTTTTTCTACTTAAATATTACTGCTTCGTTATTTCCCAGCTCCATAAAATTTTGCTCTTCAAAGTTCCCCTCACGCCGTTCTTTGCTGGGTACTGCCAGAATAATGAAAAAGTAAGACATTAAATTTTACAGACGGGATGCCACCAAACAAATACTGGTATGAAGAACAAGAACTGCTAAGTCACATGTTTTTTTTTCTAAAATGTTCAGATGAAAGATGAAGGGGCTGCCAGGTATAATCATGAGCACTTTTGGGTCTACGAGCTTATGTAACAAATGTTTTTTGTATATATTTCATGTGTGCAGTCAGTCATGTATGACATTCTCATGTTACTGCTCTCTACAGTGGATCTCTCTTTCAGCAACAAAAAAATGTGCGTTTTAATTTGAATTGTAACCTATGCCTTCGGTTACATGAAGAAGCATTTGAATTTGAAGACACTTTTTTGTGACACCAGCATCTAATTTAATGGATTTGGATTGCTATTATATAAAGGATTATCATGATTTGTAGATTTGTTATAAAACATATGGGTCCAAGATATTTGCGAGAAAAAATGCTCAAAAACTCATAATATTCCGAATGGACTAACGTAGCGAGGATATAACACCAGTAAACTTCATCACAGCTGACCATGGTCCAACAGTGTTTAACATTTCGAAAGAAAATGTTCAACAAGAGAATTTCTCATTCAAGGCAAAAACTCTTGTTGAAGTGCAGAAAAGGAGATTTGAAATTTAAAAAAATCTCTCAGTGAAAGCATATCTCGGCACGAGTTGGCACCAAAAATACTTCAAAACGAAGCCTCTTTGATTTTGATAATTTCGTACGGAATGCCCCTTTGACCCTAAACCCTAAACGTAAGAAACCTTTAAAAAACGAGACGTCGACCAAAAAAGGTCACAATTTATGTATCTTTTTGGCCATAAAAACGATATTCCCTTTACTTTTGTCTCGAATATCCAGCCTGATTCGGTGCCTACTGTGCTGATCCCTAAGTGGCATCTTCGTTCGGCTCTACTTCTGAGTAATGAAAAGTACTTTTGCGCATTTCTAAAGCAATGCAAGCTGCCCTCCCTGAACTAGGTTCTAATTGCCTTTTTTTAACGACGATGACTCAGCGGAGTAATAGAGGATCTCACTGACCTGTGAGTCTTCACTCTTACCCACTTTTGTAATTTGGGGTGAAAAAGAAAGACGAGGAATATCATTCTACAGCTGTCAGTACTGTAGCCAGTGGAGTACTGTAGAAATTGATCGATCGGAAGTGCCAGCTGCCGCGCACGGTTGAAAGTACGGTAGGTCGACTCCAGGGTCCATAAAGTACTTTATTGACAAGAAGGAAATGATAGTATCGTAATTGTTATCAAAAGCTTCTAAAACGAAATCTCTGTCAGAACTGACACACGCAAAAAAACATAGAAGTATTACCTAAACTTTGGAGTATAATGACCAAAATTTACTTAGCAACAGTAATTTCTTCGGTAAGAGCGCTTCATACTGGGCTACGAAAATTACCACAGGTAATAAGATGCACACGATTTTGTAATTTTTTTTCATATTGATTTATCTCCATGCATATAAGTGCGCAACAAAAAGCATAATCAAGGTATCAATTATTGAAAACTCCATTATGACTCTCTCAACTGTTTGAAGGCAGCGTCCCGGCAAAAACATGGGTTTTGAGATTTCACAACGTCGCAGTAGTAGACCCTCAAATAAGCTATCAGTGAATTTTGGAGAGAAAAAGCACATCTGGAAGGACTAAAATCACTCTAGAAGCCTTCCGAACCCCCGCCCCTTCGTTCCGGACCCCTCCCACCTGTACGTAATTTGAGTGAACGCAGCATGAAGAGTTTTGGAAAAAGCTCATTATAGCCATATTCATGTGTTGAAAAGCACAGATATGGATTTAGCATAACGAAAAGGCTATGAGCTGATTAACTGGGGAGCGACATTTTGCCGAGACACTGCCTTTAAAGTTCCTGTCATCATTCTTTTCCTTTCAGCTTTTTCTTGAAGAATTCAACGAAGAAGTGTATAAGTTTTTAATCAATTTTCTTTGAATATTTGGGGCAGCTGGAACTTTCGAAGGATATCTTCCCAGCAAAATGTAATTTTCATTTTTGACTTCATTTTCATTTCAAAATGTATGATTGCACTACAACAGGTACAGGTAATTACGATAATATGTTGGTATTATACAGAATAATAATTATTATTGTTATTCGGTATTATACCATAATGCTGTTATGAGAAACTAACAAACTTCTGAACGTCGTAAGACGGCGTGTAGCTAAGAATGTGCTTGAAAAAAGACTAATTCTTTCGATCTTGAAATGGACCATTATACAATGGCAATCCACCTAGACGTCGACACCGTAGCATCAGTAGGTCGAGAAGCACGCAAACTTTGCGTAGAAAAGAGACCATAACTCGCTTCAGAATAAAGCTAAGAACAGCAAATTTGGAATCAACGCTCCAATCTGCTTCCAAATATATGTGTCTCATTTCAAAAAGCGAATCTAAGTTAGTATCCTTCCCTTGTAAGTATCTAACAATAAGTATCTAAGCTTATTAAACCAGGATTTCATAGCATCAGGTTATAAAACATTTTTGTGGTATTTAAGTTGACGTAAATTTGTCTTCGTTGTAAGCGGGTCTGGTGTTAAGTAAAATCTCCTACCTTTAAACCTTATTGCCAAAGACGCACCGCGTTTCTTCTTTCTATCTGCAAGCCTTGAATTAATTTGCTGAGTCATGCAAATTGTGCCTGAGTTTCAACGCTAATTTTCAGACTCTGCAAGGATTGCCACACCTGATTCAGAGTGCAGTACATACATCAATCTCAGAATTCTGCAGATTATGAACAAACAACAGATTGAAAAGCTGATGACTTTTTGAAATCACATGACCCCTAATGGTGCCGTGAACAAAAAGATGGCTGATTATTTGTACAGAGGTGCGCTTCTGAAGCACTCACAGAATAATTATGCTTGCAAATAGAAATGTATACGCTAAAATTATGGAGGAATTCTGAAAAGTCAAAGTACGGCTTTTTATGAAAAAGCAAAGTTGCAAAGATTCTGCTTCATTCTAAAAAATTGTGTTTTTTAAACAGTCGTAGACTTTGAAGTAAATGCCTCACAAATTTTCTTATTTTTAGATGATGTAATCGGAGCCACCTTCCTCAAATGGGGATTTTCATACGACAGTTGTAATAAATGGAGAATTCAAAATTTTACGTTTATGAAAGCGTAAAGGGTCTAAAAAAAGAGGACTATATTATCACGGCAGCACGTGGCATTCAAAGACTGCGGTAGCATCATGCATTTGATGCGAAATTTATACAAATAAAATCAAGCTGAGCTGTGAATTTCAAAGCTGTTGATAGATCAGAATTGGCATTCTGATTCTTTGAAATGCTAACCTTCCTTTAGTTACAAACAGGTTGAATTTCTACATAAGCCTGCGATCTATTAGTAGAACAGTTCGAGATTTAAAAGTATTTACATAGCTCGAATGAATCATTCAGGGCGTTCCGTGCACAGATCGAGGTCAAAATCCGGGATATAATGTCAGAAGGCAGAGCACATCAGTTTCTACATTTCATAGCACATTCAAAGTCTTTTCCAAATCAACAGCACCATTTCAGATGAATAACATCATAACTATTCTCGCCGTGACGACAGCAGTGGTCTGCGCTCAAAGCGAACGCGGTGGGTTAGGATTCTCAAGAGCCCCTTATTGTCCCAATTGTTTAGGTCCCGGTTCCTATGGACCTCCCGAAACTCCATATCTTAGATATGTGAACCAACGGGGACAGAGGGAATATCACGATATTATGATGAACCGCAAATTGACCTTTGCTGAGCAGAAAGCAAAAATCGACGAGTGGGCTGAAAAATATAAAGTTAAGGTAAACTACAGTTTAGAACGCTTTCGAATATCTCGCAATGGAGTTATAGGACAAAGTCGACGAATACAATGCTGAGATGGCTAAAAAGAAGGAAGAAGCAGAACAGAAAGTTTCTGAACTCATCGGTAAATTGGCAGACGCACAGAAAAAAGTTTCTGAACTTTTCAAAAAGGAAGACCAAACCCCTGAGCAACTCTCTCAGGCTTTGGAAAGTCTTATGAAGGAAGATCCCGAGGTGATTGTGAGCGACATAATATCATGTTATTTACAAGCTCGTGGAGTTTTCATAGATCCGAAATGACAGAATTGTGTCAAAAGTTGATCACCAATGTATGTTCATTCTTGCGCACGACATTCTGCCACCCTGCTGCCTTTTTCTGAAATAAGTTTTGCAGAATCACAGCAAGTTTGATTCCAAAGAAGCCGTAAAACCACCGCCTGATATTGTCTTCAAAGTCGAAGCAAACGCCTTCTATAAAATTTGCGGTAGTCCGGAACAGATGATCTTGTAGAGCGAGAATTCAGGAACACATCATATGCTAATATAACTCCCAGTCAAGTTTTGCAGGACAACTTTGATGATGTTTGCCGTACAGAGCCATATCTTGTCGCACAGAAAAACCGTTGAAACTGCCTTTTAGACCTTTCTTGCAGTATGCTCCCATTCAGTCGGTGCAGCTGAGTTGCGCAGGGTATTCAACCGTTTTGTTCTTGTCCAGCAATTTAGTCCAGGTTTTCCTGCCTGTTTCATTGAAAATCCTACACAAGAAACTGTTCAATCGTTGGCTTTTTACAACAATTAAATCTCATTTTGAGTTGCTAACGCCAACTTTCTTGATCGCTGAAAAGCCCACACAATAAAATTCTTTTGTCAAGAAGAAATGCGGGGGTGTCGTAAATGCTCTTCTTATTTTTTGAAAATTCTATTTTTGAAAACTGGGAAATCGAAGTAGGATGGGAAGTAGATCATTTTTTGTCGAATGCAATAAGTATAACTAAGAAAGCAAGCTTAGCACTTCTCAGTAGTTTGCGCATCTCATCGCATATCGACCGCTTTTAATCAAAATGAGGACGATAATGAAAACACCACGAACTCATAAAACGACCTATGGATCATAACTGTCATATACTTTCAGGTGCACAACGTTCTGATATTTGCTTTCCTTCAATTCATGAAGGGAATAGGAGGACCAAATGGACCAGCTGGCCCAGGAGAATTTGGACCAGGCCCAGAAGGACCAGGAGTACCAGGAGGTCCAGGGGGACCAGGAGGGTCATGGGGACCAATGGGACCTCCACCTTCACCTCTAAGGCCAGGCGGTCGCGCATGGGCACCAGCTGGTCCAGGAGGACCAGGGCCATTCGGACCAGGAGGCCAGGGAGGCCAGGGAGGATTAGGAGGACCAGGAGGTTCAGGGGGACCGGGAGAACCATGGGGACCAGCTGGCTCAGGAGGATCAGGACCATTCGGACCAGGAGGCCAGGGAGGACCAGGAGGACCAGGAGGACCATGGGGACCAGCTGGCCCAGGAGGATCAGGACCATTCGGACCAGGAGGCCAGGGAGGACCAGGAGGACCAGGAGGACCATGGGGACCAGCTGGCCCAGGAGGATCAGGACCATTCGGACCAGGAGGCCAGGGAGGACCAGGAGGACCAGGAGGACCATGGGGACCAGCTGGCCCAAGAGGACCAGGACCATTTGGACCAGGAGGCCAGGGAGGCCAGGGAGGACCAGGAGTACCAGGCGGCCGTGGACAGTGGTAGAATATCAACGCTGCAGCAACCGAAAGTCATTTCATTTGTCAAATTTGTCATTCATCATCTGTCAAATTCAGTAAAGCAACATTGCAATGTGTTTCTAAATTACAACAACTAACCATAATGACATTTACTGAACTGTACTCTAACCTATATTAAAGATTTTCGCTTTCAAAAGGCGAATCCGCCTGCAGTAAAAAGTGCATCCCATATGGAACGTGGGGCACAACTTGATTAAGCGTTTCCGCACTTTACGCGGAGAAGAAAAATTACTACTCATTATTACGCTGCTCAAAGTGTTATTTCCTTTCAGCGTAGTCCTAAGGCTTAAGGTAGGTTACGTTAACAGTATCAAAATATGCTCAGCTCTGTGTTCTTAGTATAAACTCACTAATTTAAACTGTGGCGGACCCAGGACAGAGTTATTGCATAGAGTCTTCTCGAGCTTGACGATAGCTAGGGGGTGCTCTGCTGCTGCAATAGCTGTCGAAATACGTAAGCGCGCGTCAAGTGTGCTGATACATGCGAGCGGTGACGATGGCAGAAGTTCTTCTTGATTGAATTTTTCTAAGATCCTCTTAGCAAAACTCACTCTTACGAGCAGTAGATTGGTAAAAAAAAGAAGCATTTTTTCTTGAAAAGGTGAGCGTGTGAGAATGGTTTTTTGAGAGCGGATTGTACACTGTTTCGCGAAACAAAATACTATCCTTTTTTTTACGAGCATTTCATCCGTTTTCCGGACAAGTTCTTTAGAAATTATACAAGACCGGGTCAGCGCCGTGAAAAAGCCTGCTTGAGGCAAAAATGGAAGTCGAGAATCTGGCTGGACGCTTCCTTTATAGTATTAGGTTGTAAAGAAAGTTCCCGGGCACTTTTGGAAATTTCATTTTCAAACGCATTTTTTCGGCGCTGGGTCGGACTTTGACACCAAGGTTTTTGTACTGTTGAGTAGAGGGAAGCCTAAAGTTTTCGATACGGCTTCTGACTTTTATCGATGCCAAGACGTGTTTGATCTGCACATCAAGGAGAAAAATCTTTCCAACTATAAAAATTTCACAATTTTTCTTCCTGTGGCCATTTTTTGGTGCACTTCAAATAATTTCGTCCAAATCATGAGTGATCTGATTGAGGAACCTTTTAACTTCTAATCCGCAGCTGCACTCGAATTTTGCGATTTGCGCTCAGAAATTACAAGCTGTCGAACTTGCCTCTGACTGCAACTCTTGCCGCAGCTGGCGTCGCTTCTGCGGGGATCGCCACTCCTGGGCGATAGCTCCAAAAGATGTGTAAGACATTACCCCAACAATGTTCGCAATAATCAAAGATTTGGTCCGCCCTGTGCAGAACGAGAATACTTCAAAGTCAATTACTCGAAAATGGTGCATTTTTGGGGGCAAAAATTGGTCGATTTTTCAAACTTTCTGGAAAAAATTTTTTGCAGGTGGTTCCTCAAAGACATGAATGGTCCTCATAACAGCCCCAGAAGACTTCTATATAACTACAGCATCTGGGGTCTTCAGCCGTTATCCTGCCTGAGATAATCCTGCACAAATAGGCCACTTTTCGCGACGACCTTTTTCTCTTCTGCGCATGCTGGTGGACCGCAATGAGATGCTGAGAAGACAGCAAGACAGATATATGTTGTGGACAAAATTGTCTTTGCAATGAAGTTTGTAGCTTCAAAAAAGAATCAATCTACTTGAAGTTACAGCGATTTGAAAAAAATTTTCGCAAGTGCCCGGGAACTTTCTTTACAACCTAATAAACGCTTTTTTATAATGATTCTGGTGAAAGATATGCAGCTGTAAAGGTTAAGCATAAAGATACTAATCACGAACCGCTTAGAACTTTGTGTCGAATTATTTGTGTAATTCACAACTGCAAAAAATGCAAAACATAAAAAGTAAAAGTTTATCTACCGCAAGTCTACCCTCCACATTGTCTCAAGACGTTCTTTTTTTACAAAGTTTCTCTAACAAAATGTCGATGAAACAGCTGAACCTCATAGCAAACATCTGGTATGTGCCATTCTTCAAAAAACTGATGATCTACGCGCTCAGCATGTTTGAGTCCCTCAGTAACATACAGATTGGCAAGATACAAAGCATTACCATGGGAACCACCACTAGGAAACATTTAAATTACTGGGTGATCTATGTTAGACGGATTAACAGCTATTGTTTACTGCAAATAATCTGGTTCTTTTGTTTCTTAGTGCTACTAGAAATCCGTGTCCACGTCACTGTGCAATAGTTCCATGGCATTTTCAGCTCCTTCTGGGTTCAAAAACCTACGAGAATTTGAACACACGTGATAGTGCTAGAAATTAGAAACTTCCGTAATAATAATGAAATCTAGATCTTATTGGTTTTACAGAAGCTCTTTACGTACCCACTTTAGACCTCGTCAATCTGTCATTATGTTCCTACAGTATTGAGTACACAACTTTCTAAAGGATAGATACTACCTTATCATTTACTCCTGAGAGCTTCAAACACATGTTTACTCCTGAGAGCTTCAAACACATACTACAAAATGCATTATACAAATTGTACTTAATTAACCAGCCTCCTTCCAGACATTATAGTGGTTTTCTTGGGAAGTGCGATAATTGGAGCGGTAATCTAACGGAAAGAACGGAGATTACTTGAAATAAAACTTTTATTGAGACAATTTTTACCATTTGATGTTCAGAAGAAGTTTATTTGCACCGCACATATTATGGTTTTGTGAAAATCGAGCACCTTTATTACTCAAACCTTTGGCATAAGGAGAAAATATTGATGTTGGCATGTTGGTAGTGTCCCCATAATTTTCATATTAAGGACTGTTTTTGAAGCTGCATTGGCTTGATTGGAAGCATGTTTTTCTATTAGTAGTCTGACCATGCAAAAATTCTGTATTCACTATTGCTCAAAAAAGGGTTATTAGATCGGTCGCGACAGTCAATTGTCTTTGTAAAAAACATTTATTTTTATTTCTTTCTGTCTAAAGACATCATCAAGCTCGCAGTAAACACGAGGGAAATTTGCATTTGTTTGTCGCCACGCAAAATGGCTGAACATTCCAAACTGGAAAGAGAAGATTGACATGTGGTTTGACTAAGGCTATCATCTCTCAAGATCTTTTGCGAAGTTTCCAAAAAAAAGTTCATGATTTTTTGTTAGCGTTTCTTGTAACATGTCGTATGAGGACGGTTCCTTGAGGAATCTCGTTGTTTTTCACTCACTGCATCAACGTTTTTTTCCTCTTGAACAACTGTTCCTCAGAATACAGACAAAATTTGAAAATTGAGCATATTAGTTTCTCTGGGCTAGTCATCAGAAAAATGCAGCAAGTATAGAAATGCAAAGATATCGCCGCATTTTTTTTTCATACCGAGACCGAATGCCTTTTCATTTTTCGTGTTTTTCTTAAATCTCTTTGATGTATTACTAACTTCATTGACGTCTTATGTTGGTGTTTACTAACAAAGTGGCACGCCTATGAGCGTATTATATAAATATAAATATATCCGATGGGGGAGTATATGTATGAGAAAATGGGAAATTTGTGGAGCTGTTTTGAAGTAAGATATGATGATTTTCGTTTTTTCGGGAAATCGGAAATTTTTTATTTTGGCTTAAAACTTGTTGCGGATTGAGCTTGGTGCGAACTTTTGGACTACTTCTTGTAGAGTTGTTTTGATCTGTCGGATGGTACCCCTCGTTCTGTTGTGAGTTCAAGAAGAACTGATTTAAGTCGCTGAAAAGTCAGGTATGAAAAGACCTAGGGGACAACCTATAGTAAGTTAGAGTCTTGTTTAACACCTTTCGTTGTCCAAATTTTTGCCGCGGTCAACATCGTTTTTCGATAGTTATCGCTAACAAAAAGCATGGCTGCGTAGCATAAATTTTGCCATGGAGCAAACTCGTACAGACGTTTACCTCTTGCTCAACGCAGTGCTTTGCTTGTTTATTGAGCTGCTCAGAAAATGTTTTCCTTATACTTCTACAAGTTTGTCCAATCGGGATCAATTTCTCGTTCATTGTTAAAATGAGGCAGCATCGGTTCACCTTAGGCCCTCCTTTGATCGCCTGAATCAATTGTGCTTTACTATGGGCCTAGTCCGCCCCACACTATTGGCATCAATCAACCTGGCTACCTGAAATTTCGAGATGGAGATTTTTAAGGGCATCAGCGTATCTAACCGAAGTTAACGAAATAAAGCAGTTCTGATATATCTGTCGTACTTCGCAACTCCAATGGAGATAGTGAACTATTCGACTAATCAAATAAATGCACTTTCGTGAATATTCGATTTTTCTAGTTCGTGTATAAATCATTCGAATTCGAACATTCGAAAAATATTCGGTTCGTACTATACTAGGGTGAGTCAAAAGTAATGAGAACTCCGTATTTCCTCTCAAACCTATTCTCAAATTAGGTAGAATGTAAAAGGCAAATGCTCTAAACGGTATCCGATACGGCTTTTCTTCCTCTTTCCAGCAGTCATAATTTCCAACCAAATCACTTTGTTGTTGATGAAATATTTGCAGAAATTTTGGACACAAAGCGTTTGCCGTTTAAATTCTATGGTTTTTTCAAACGTGGCAAAAAATTCTATTGCAGATTATGATAATTTGAAACGGTAAGCGTTTGAATACTTTGCAACTTCAAGGTTTGATAATAAGCTATTTTCGAAGCTCCCAATTTCGAAAGATTTTGTAGAGTTTGATGCATTTTTGTTTTGAGCGATTTTTCAAAATTTTAGTGTTCACTATTCTACACAATTTGCTAAAAGTTAGAGAGGGTGCGCGAGAAGTTCTCATTACTTTTGACTCAACCTAATACTCCCAACTACAAAAAGTCACTTTTACCGCCATAATATGCTCTATGTACATGTTTGTTTGAGTAATATCATTCCAGTCTTCTCTGTGTAGCATGTCATCTTGCTTTGCTACTTTCCTTCAAACATTTCGTTTAGATCATTATAGAGAACAGATCTGTGCTCGACTAGTAAAAAGCGTGAGCCTTTTTTTTTGAACTCC